GGAGCACAAAATTGTGGCTCATCCGAACAATGCTGGTCAGCTGGCCAACAATTTGCAGATCACCCAGATGGTGTTGCAAGCCCAAACTGTGTTGGGTTGTTTGCTGGTCAGTCATTTGCAGATCACCCATGTGGTCTGCGTGTGGCGGAGCACAAAATTGTGGTTGATCCGAACAATGCTGGTCAGCCATTTGCAGATCCCCCATGTGGTCTACGCCTTGTGGGGTCAACTGCAATCCGGGCAGATCATGTTCCAATCCCTCAACGTTTAGGGCTACATCCTGAGTAGGGACTGCGCCTGGAGTCGGGAGTGTACTCTGGGCAGCGGCTGCATCCTGAGTAGGGACTGGTGGCTGCCTGCGGGCAGCTGGACTGTCTGCAGGAGGCATAGGAGCGGATATTGCCGTTTGAAACAAAGGAACCGCAACAACCTGTGGAGGAGGCACAGAGAGAATCGGGGCAGACAAAGAAACAGGTTGCTGATCCCTGGACAAGTGACGATGCCGCGGATGTCGTCGGTGATACACAACAAGAGGAGTAGTGGTGTTGCAAACAGAAGCTGAACTTGTACCTAGCAACCCAGGTGGAACAATGTGAACAATGGACACTGGAGAGTCTGTTCGCAAGCGAGACCGTGGAGGAGATGGGGGTGGTGAGGAGGAACGCAGTTGTCTACGGCCAAGCACAGATAAAGATGAGAGGGGGGTGCATTGGGGAAGAGTTCAGAGCGAAGGACGTGAGCGTCGGAGAGATTGTGATGTTCTTTGCATTGGAGCTGCAAGACAGGAAGATGTAGCAGTAAAAACTAAAGTAGGGGGAATTACAGTTAGGGAAACTGCTGTACTGAAAACTGCAGCAGTGGAAACTGCAGCAGCCGAAACTGGAGCAGTGGAAACTGCAGCAGTGGAAACCGCAACAGTGGACACTGCAGCAGTGGAAACCACAACAGTCGACACTGCAGCAGTGAAAACTGCAGGAGTGGAGACTGCAGCAGTGGAAATAGAAGTTTACAAAGTTCAGCACCAGTTCGCTGGTCCAGTGCCTCATTGGTCAATGAGAGGAGGGCATTTCAAAGGAGCAATGCTGTGGCAAGAGATGGGTTGATGGATTGTAGTGCAGCACAAGGAGAGGGAGGGGTGGTTGAGTAACATGGGGATGATAATACAGAGCTGACTTATGTAATATGACATTCCTTGGGATGCTCAGTAACTCACCTGTCTCTTCTCTCTTTGTTACTCTTCCTTCCCCATTCTTGTCCTCCTGCAGTTATAACAACAAGTCAGAGAAGAAGACAAGTTGACTCTAATCGCTGCCACTGTTTGATAGAGGACAACAGTAACTCACAATATTAAAATATTTTCAATATATTGCAAAGAACAGCAGTCAAAATCAGCACAGACAAAGTCATAGGATTGTAGCTCTTGGCCAAGTCGAAGTTCAGAGGGTCAAAACTCACAAGCCCATCCTACAGGCTCTCAAGGGCACCATAAAGGCCTTAGTTCGGAAAGGGGCCTCACTAGGGGTCAAGGGTCAAAGAGAGGTGCCCGGAAAGGGCCTCTAGAGGTGAAAGCAGGCCCCGAGGAAATTCAACAGCAACACACAACCCGCCCACATAAGTCAGAGAGTCGAACTTTCTCGGGAGTCCACCACGCCGACACAAAAAACACAAATCTGAAGGCTCTGTGCAGTTTCCAGAAGCTTTCAAGGCCCGCTAGGTCCAGGCAGACATTGGCTGAAAGAAATTATTGGCATCTTCGCCATGGAAGGAGCAAACTGGGGGCAGGCGGGATGGATTCAACATGACTGGGCCTGCCCGAGATCGTGCATTCATTCTGCCTAGGGGTGCTTTGTGGCTCGAGTGCTGTTTCAAGAGCCCTAGCGCTCGAAGAAGGCAGACAGAGAGCTAGCGCGAGAGCGGCCACAACTAGGATAGATGGTGCCAGCACCATAGCACACACACACACACACACACACACACACACATACACACACACACACACACACACAGAGAGAGAGAGAGAGAGAGAGAGAGAGAGAGAGAGAGAGAGAGAGAG